GGAGGACAGTTTTGCCCACACTGTGCTCAGTGCAATAGGCTGGAGCATGCACTTGGCGGCTCCTGCTCGCGGAGGTTTTGCAGGAGCCTCAGGCCTGTGGCTCGCACCTCTGGCTGGTCTGCGGATCTGTGTCCCGCGGTTGCCATCTGCCTGCTGGGGGCTTTGGGGTGCAGCCTGCGGGACCTCTGCGGGGAGGCGCATTTGGCAGTCCCGGGCCAAGGGCACTCACTGTCTCCACTTGCCTCCACCTGTTCACCCCCGTCCATCGCACATCCTCCCATCACACATCTAAGTCCTCATTTGCTGGGGGGCCCTGCAGCCAGGCTCAGGCTGGGTAGAATCCCAGGGCTGTTACTTGCTGCTCAGTGAGTCTGAACAAGATGCCTAACGTTGGGAATGCTCCGTTTTTGAGTAGCTGTAATATGAAGGTACTAATAGCATTTACTCTTGGGATTTTTTGTGAGAATGAAGGAGTTCAGTCACACAACATGCTTGCACAATGCTTACTAACTGTTATTGTATAATATTAAACAATATCTAGGAATGTTTCCAGGGTTCCACTTAGCATAGGTCTGAGCAGTGTATGAACAGCCTGCCACCAAGGAGCATATAAAAAAGGCGTCTGCTAATTTGCAAATATTGATACTGATGCGTGACAGGTGGGTAATGTCTTTATAAACATCTATGAGTATTCTCCGCTTTTTATTTAATCAAAGAATTTCTATGGTTTTAACATGTTCCTGTCTTAATCAAACATTNGTGGTTTTTAACATGTTTGTGTCTTAATCAAACCTTAAAGTTTTTTGAAAACTATAAAAAAGCCTGAATTGCATGCAAGAGCTCCAAGGAANATGGTTTTAACATGTTCCTGTCTTAATCAAACATTAAAGCTTTTTGAAAACTATAAAAAAGCCTGAATTGCATGCAAGAGCTCCAAGGAAAGGAAGAAGCGCCAGTGAGAAAACATTAGAAAAAGCGTAACACAGACTATAAGGCTGAAGTGAACCTGGCGGCCACGAAGATACCAGAGAAAATTGAAGGAAGAGAGTTACTGACAATGAATAGAGGAAAACGCTTGAAAGAATCTGAATGTCCTTCAGAAGCATCAGATAAATAAATTCTCATTTCTCTTTGGCAGTTCTCCCATATCCCCTGCATGCCCTGTGCTCCCTCCCAGGGATGGGGTGGAGGCTGGGGGGCCTGAAACATAGCAGGGCAGGAATATTTCAAGCTAGAAGTACTAGAAGCAAATGACAAGAAGAACATAATATGAGAAATATTGGGGACACATAGAATAAAACTTATCAATGATTAAGATCTAGAATAATGTATATTATATAAATTTAGTAATTATATATTTATGTACAAAACAGGTTATGTATATACATACATTACATATCTTGTTGGCTATGTAATAATGTATGTACATATGTACATAAAACCACGTATGCATACAAATACAATATATTTTATACTATTCTATATGTTATATGTGTATGTATATATAAAACCTGTTTTATGCATAAATATATGTAAACTAGAGTATGTAGATATAAAAGCAGAGTTTGTCTTCACTTTGATTTGTCCTCTCAGTTGGCAAGCTGCTGGGCAGACGCATTTAGACTGGTTTTGACTGGGTGGGTGCTGGTGCATTGTTTATTGTTCCAGTTGGTCAGACTGGCACAGCCCTCTGCTGGTCAATATAGCATCCACTAGCTTCAACGGCTATTTAAATTCAAATTAGTAAAGATTAAACAATATTGAAAATTTAGTTCCACAGTTGCTCAACTTTCTGTTTTTATCTCATCTTCAAATAAGTAACAGGAAATCAGGATTCCTCATTTGGAATACTACAGAGATGAGGTAAGTCACTTTGAAGAGCGTCTCATTTATCCTGCTGCTGTGTTCCCCATGTGTCTTTTCAGACCTCCCAGGTACGGTGTCAATGTTTTTGGTTCTCTGATTTAAGAATCTGAATGTCTTTCAGAAGCATTAGATAAATTCTCATTTCTCTTTGGCAGTTCTCCCGTATCCCCTGCATGGCCTGTGCTCCCTCCCAGGGATGGGGTGGAGGCTGGGGCCCTGAATCATAGCAGGGCAGGAATATTTGCGTCAGATGACAGCCCAGTCTGGGGGTCCTTGGGCCTTCTAAATGCAGCTGCCTCACGAAGTGCTTTTGGTTTGATGAGAAAGCAGCAGGTGGAAAGCATGTGGTAGTGAGAGGGGACCGACTAACCGGAGCAACAGTGCCACTGGGCCAGCAGCACCGGCGGTTTTCCCAGTGAAGTTCTCGTGAGCAGACGTCTTTCATGATCAGTTCTTTCACTGGATACAGAGCTCTCTCTCCAACACACTGCACCCTGCAATCTCCTCCTTCACTAGTGTGAGGGAATCCTTGTACTTCAGGAATCTCTTTTTACACTGGGAAATGCCGTATAAAATAATCAGGCCAGAGGCCTGTTAATTACAGATGTGTGATTTATGCCACTTCTTATAGGGTCCTTCTTTGCTAAAAAGTTTTACATAGTTTAAACATCATTTCTTCCACTTAGGGTGAAGGAATCAGGGAACAGAGATTCTCACAACGGAAGCAACTCCTCTTAGTGTTTAATATTTGATGTTTGTTTATGTTTATGGTTATTTGTGTTTTGCTCAGAATATTAACATGATTAAGCTAAAATCTTTAAAACAGTTTTAACAAAACATATGTAAAGAATAATGATGATGTCATGTCACTGAGTGAGTGCTTTCTATTCACATAAAATGATACAGACAAGCTTAGATGTAAAGGTGCAGTTGCTCCGTGATCTCTCGGAGAACGTGACTGCAATGAAACGGAGCAAGGTTAAGTCACGCTGGCTGTCATCCTCAAAAGGCTAGCAGGACGCTATATGCCTAGGACGCTGTGCTAGGCTTTCTTGCGAGGGGGGTTTTCTGAACATTGGGACAGTGGCCACCAGCTGGAGAATCTCAATCATTAAGAGAATGTGCGATTAGGAGAGCTTTGGGACAGTGATCTGGCTCTGCAAGACCTTTCCCGCTGTTTAATCTAGTTTGAGAGAATAATACGGAGGGAAACTAAAAATGATTCTAGACATCAGTTCTTACCCAGATCTTCCAAGCGGAAGGAGGCTACCAGCCTTCGTCCTCGGAGGCCCCTGTGCCGGATCACGCAGCCCACGGTGGAGTTTCTGCCGTCGGCGCTCACTCGGAGTGTGCTGCTGCTGTTGCATTTCTTCCCGTCACCTTCAAATTCATGGTAGGTTTCACCTGTGCGGCATTTGAGGCGTGTGTGAGGTTGGGGCTATTTAATGTTACCAGATGAGTTTGGTTCTCTCAGAGACTTGGGGCCTTGACATCTTGGCAAACCTGTTCCATTTCTACCCTCATTCCAGCCACAGGCTGCTGCCCCGTGAGCCTGGCCCTAGTCACACAGGGAGGCCAGGGAACAGGGTGGATGGGCTTCTATAAACCCTTCACTACTGAAAAATCCAGAGCCTGTAACGGTGCAAGGACAGCCCGAATGTTGTGAAATACAAAGACACAGACTTCTCCATTTAATGAATAGGGCAAATTAAAGGGGAAACCATTCGTGCTGTGCATTTGGCCCTGGACTGAGGATCACATCTGGGCTCTAGGTCTTTTTTCTCTAGAACTCCACTTGACCCTCGGTTTCCTCAACAATACAGAGTCCTTCCATCTCTAAGAATCTATGATTATGTAAAATCAAATGTAATGTTTGTTGAAATANGCTTGACCCTCGGTTTCCTCAACAATAGAGTCCTCCCAGCTCTAAGAATCTATGATTATGTAAAATCAAATGTAATGTTTGTTGAAATATAAACAAACTATAAATAGTTCTAAGCATGACAATTACTTATCTGCTTCAATCAAAAGCCTCCAAGCTTCCATAATTTTCACCTGTCTTTGAGGGTATGACAGGGTACTTACACTGTATAAGGAAGACCATGTATTATGTTAAATGGATTTTCAATTTTATGCCTAATAAAAAGTTTATGCTCTCAGGTAATAGCTCTATTTTGTTTTATTTTATGAAATTTTGTCAAATTTTAAGACGCTATAATAAACATTACATTTTAGATTTCTGCCTTGTTTTACACAGAACATGTAATAATGTATTTGTGATTAGCCTTTCAAGATTAAAAAGTAATACTGGTTGGTTATAAGGATAATTTGGAAAAGAACTAATAATTATTGGATGGTGTTTTCTGGCACCCACTGCCATCAGAGGGTGCCAGAACATTAAAAAAAAAAAAAAAAAA